ACTGTAACTCTCTTTTCACGTGTCTGAGCAGAACCTCCCTGAACCGTCTACAGGTGGTTCAGAATGCCTGTGCTCGGCTTCTGACCAAGTCCTCCAAACACACCCACATCACCCCGCTTCTCCTCCAGCTTCACTGGCTGCCAGTCAACGTCAGGGTTCATTTCAAGATCCTGGTTCTGGTCTATAGGGCCTTACATGGACACGCACCATCTTACATTGGTGATCTTCTTAGTCCCTACACCCCCAGCAGGTCCCTGAGGTCCAGTAACCAAAGCCTACTGGTTGTGCAGCACCAGGCTAAAGACCAGAGGTGACAGATCATTTGCTGCTGTGGCCCCCAGACTCTGGAACTCTCTCCCCTTGAGCCTGAGATCAGTGGACTCAGTGGTCTCCTTTAAAAAGGAGCTGAAGACTCACTTGTTCAAGCTGGCTTTAGAAATGATACTTTCTTCTTCTTCATCTTCTTGTGATGTCTTACTGTCTTGTTTTTCTTTGTCCTTTCTACATACATTTATAAGGACTTAGGAGATTAATTTCCCTGATAGACATCATTCCTTGAATCCTGCTGTAAATGTGCGTCTTTTTAGCTTTTAAACGTAATCATTTAGAATGATTCACAGCAGAGCATTCAAAAATACAGGCTGGAAGGTTCTAATTTGTTGTAATTAAATGGAAGTGTGAGAGAGATTTAAGCCCTCGGTGCTGACTGACAAGAGAACATTAACCTTCTTATTGTGATGAGACGTTTCCTGGATGAACTCCCTTAGAATCCTGTCATGATGACATCATGCATTCGGTGTCAGTCAGGGCAGAAAAACTAAAAATAAATGACACGTGCTTACATCTCCATGCAGGTTAAATGATTTTATGACTCAGATAAGGATTCCAACCTGAGATCAAGGACTTTTTTTAGATTCATAACTTTGAATTTGTTCCATGCAGGAAGTGTTTTATGAGAAATAAAGCAGAAACAGCATTTCAAAAGAAAAAAATTTCTGTTTAGCTTAAAGGTGCGGTTCACTAAAACATCTTTTTTTTATGATTATTTCTGATCATAATCAGTCACTCTGAGTTTTTCATGCAGGCTGAACATAAAAATAGTCTCCTACGCCTATCTCCTGAGTCTCCTACACCTATCTCCTGCATTAGCTTCTGATAGAAAATAGACGGTGAAACTCTAGGACTAGAAAATCCTGACAGATCTACGTCACACTGTCACTTAACATTCATGGACTCACCCATCTTGACTCACGACGGGGAAGGCTGTTGCTCTCAGCAGAGAACGTATTGGCTAACAGAAGCTAACCGTTAGCATCAGCACCTCAACCACGCGGCAGAAGCTCCTTCAGGCTTGTATTATTTGTGGAGATAAAACATCAACATCGCAGAGCAAGCAGAGTCAGTGGTAGAATCGTGTTGCTGTTAAGCTTGGTTTATGCTTGACGCATTCACTTTCCGCTTGGTGATGCGGCTCGCGGCTGGAACGCGCTTCACAACTCGCAGCATTTATGGTTCATGCGGCTTGTCTCTGCGGTGAGCCAATATTCTCCCAAACTGTAGGGGGCAGCATGGAGCTCTACAGCATGCACCCAACACTACACCATAGTAGAAGTAGAAATTACTGTTTACAACATGGCATTTCAATATTTTTTAACAGCGTCCTCGTCTTTTCCGACAGTGCGAGCCATTTCTCTCCAAGAATTATTAACAACATGTTGATCACGGTGATCTCTGAGAGCTGAATCATACAAATGTCTGTATTTACGAACCTCTGCCATACTAGTTCTTGCCGGTCCGCCATGTTTTTCCGCGTCCGACCATCTGCGTGGTTAGAAAATTTCCTAGGTGCGCGTTGCGGAAATTTTGGGCCTTGTGGGGGCGCGGTGGAGGGGCGTGGTTGTTAAAATGACGCAATTTCGCTGCACGGAGCCGTAAGGACTCCAACCTTTAGTCAATCTGAGGCAAGATGTGCAAATATCAGGAAATAAGACTCCAGATCCTGCCATGCTAGGCTCTCCTCTGACGTGGTAGACTTGTCCCTGCTGATCCAAGTGTTTCTGGGCTTTTTTTGCCCCGAGTTCGGCTTCCTACCAGAGACCACTACAAAATTGATTAAACAATGTTCCACACCTTTAAAATAAATAATAAAAATTGTTGTTGCATTTTGAGTGAAACAAGTTTCTTAAGTGTGACTCTTATTATTTCAAATTTATAAATAATAATTAGGACCTCCCACTGAAGGTTTCTGCTAATTGCGCTTGCATAGTGACAATAAAGTTTCACTATCTTGGCTTCATCCGCTCATCACACCAAAGACGAATGCACATAATGCAAAGAACAAAGTCAGTTTGTCTGCTCAGAGCACCGGGGGCACTGCGTGGACATCTACGTGACTTTACTAGCAAGTGTTGATGTTGTTAAAAGATGATAATGAGTCTCAGGAGGACCGAACAGCAAATTAACCGATAATCTGAAAGAAAATGCAGAAATGGGAACGTTCAGCCTTAAAATAGATCACTTCTGTATAAAAACCGTGACGTGACTGTACCCTTTTTAAACCCTTGTGAACCAGCTGCTGGTGGATGATTGTGGACCTCGCCCTCATCCTTATCTCCAGCGTGTGCTGCAGCATCCCCCTTCATACATGGAGAGTGCAGCAATGAGAGAGGAGTGATCCAAAGTCATCTTGTGCAAACATGAACCTCTTTAATAAATAATTCACAAATTTTAGACCGACATTTGTAAATGCAGTTTGATTAAACTTTTTAATAGATTTTCTTCCCTGAAAACAACCTAAGATGGGCTTTAATGTCCAAAATATTATAAAATAACAAGAATTATTGTCTTGAATCAAAGAGACTTGGTTTTATTCTACATTTATTACATTTTTAAACTTTATTTATATACATTTTTTGTTGTTTTCATTAAAAAACTATTTATTTATTTTTCATGATTCTGAAGTCTGATCAATCCCACGTAGGTGGAATGGTGGCGCAGTGGTTAGCACTGTTGCCTCACAGCAAGAAGGTCCAGGTTCTAAACTCGGCTGAGGCCTTTCTGCGTGGAGTTGCGTGTTCTCCCCATGCATGCGTGGGTTTCCTCCGGGTACTCCGGTTTCCCCCACAGATCACAACATGCCCTATAGGTTATAAATTGTGCGTCGCTTTGGATAAAATCATCTGCCAAATAAATAAACATAAACAAGGCCCTCCAGAAAGCTCAGGTCTCAGGAACATAAAAGAATTATTTTTGATTGTACGATCTTGTTGTAAAATCTATTTAAATCTATTTTCAGAGCTTGTGTTTTAATAAGAAATGCTTTACTTTCTTCTGTTTTTGTTTTTCAGGATTTCATATATTATAATTCAAGCTATTTATTATGAAATAAAAGCTAAAAAAGTGAAAAGTGGAATCTAGACTTTAAAGATAAATAGATTTGATAAACAATGTGGAGTAACAAAGTTTTCACTGTAGCTCAAGAGGGATTAGGACCAAAGTGGAACATTTTGTTTTAAAATAACTTTAATAAATCATTATTATTCGTGCAATCTCTGTTTTATAAAGCTTTACTCCATCACCGATGCTGATTTGGTTGACATAGCAGAAATATGATGACATCCTGATGGAAGAAACCCACCAGAAATGCTAAATGCAGCTAGCTGCTAACTCCTGCAACAGCGTTACATAAAAAGATTTGACATCACGTTAAATAACTCAACAGGACATCTCCTTCTTTTTCATTGTGTCATAGAAGAATATCACGTTTTAACTACAGTTGGGCTATAATCTGATTATTGTCCCTTATCCTGCGGCCTCGGCAGCAGTGGGACTGCGATGCCTGAATCTTATATAACACCGCCCCACCTAATCTGTATGTTTATGCTGATGATGTGTCAGAACACTCTCGCCTGCTCCCAGAGCTCACCTCAGCGCTGTCAGGGGCAGCATCTCTGCCCTCTCTTTGCTGCATTCCAAACACAAAACACTGCTGCAGAGCATTAAATATCCAGAGATGTTAGGACACTCGTTGACTAATAGCCCGAACAGCGAGGCGTAGCTGTCTGGTGACCAGTGAGACTTTTGGGGGGAGTATTTTAGATCACTTGTGTTCTTTTCACTGAGACAGGCGTTCAGTTAGAAGAAATCAGCACAGAGGGATTGTTTACGTCCATCCAGGTCTTCTCTCTGGATGGGTGCTGCTGTGGGATGAAGCGCCTTGAGGTGCTTTGGATCTGGGTGGTGTTATAATTCCAGCTGTGCTCCATTAAACCCTTACACGTTGTGATCGTCATCCCCCTCGTCTATTTAGCGTGATCTGATTACGCCAGCAGCTTATTTCTGCCACTTCTTCCCTCCCTGACTGGCTGAAGGACTATGGTGCTCTTCACACAGAAGCTTTATTCACTCCCCTCTTGTTTATTAGATCCTCAGCTCTACTTAAAATGCTCTTGGGCAAAGTTACTTGTAATAATTGTAGGTGAAATGTAATGATGTGATCCTTTTCAGCTGATGGACTCGTCCTCTGGCCGTCCTCCTCTGTGTCTCAGGCTGTTGTCTTGCGCCGGATCTGGATCCAGGAATCTGAGCTTATCCAGCAAGGATTCAACAGAAAAATCATTTATCCATCATGTCATCTTTATTTTGGAAAATGTTTTGAGCTCTTTAAACTTTAGCTCAGTGTCTGTGGAACTGACTGAATAATTTCTGTTGGCTGTGGAGGCCATCTTGAATTGGGTTGGGTCCAAAAGTTAAATCAGTTGTACATGAACATCCCATAATTATGTTCTGAGAGTTTCATCCAAATATAACTAGTGATGTGTGAAATATTTTGTTAATGAACGCACACGCACACACACACACGCACACGCACACACACACACGCACACGCACACACACACACACACACACGCGCACTGCAGCATGAAAAATGACTCATCAATAACGATGGTCTGTTTTCAGGACTGAAACCATGGTGACATGTTTCTTCTTTTCTTCCACAGTCTTCATCTGTAGCTTTATGGTGGCAGCTCCCATCTTCGGTTACCTTGGCGACCGCTTTAACAGAAAGGTCATCTTGAGCTGTGGCATTTTCTTCTGGTCCATTATCACCCTGTTGAGCTCGTTCATCCCAAGTGAGGTAAGTCACAGCAGCTCAGGACATTACCCCCCCCCCCCCCCCCCCCCCCCCCCCACACACACACACACACACACACCCCTGACAGTGGCGAGTTGATTAGTTAGTTAGGACCTGGATATGCTCCACGTTAAAGCTGGTGAAATGAAATGACACGCTAGTTAGATTGGACCTTTGTTCTTTGGCTGCTGAGATAGACGGAGCATAATCTTCTAATGAAGGCTTCGCGGTCATCTCAATTACTGCAGTAGAAGATAAGAGTTTCCCATAAACACTCCGATTTACACTTGATACCTCTAAAGCCTCTGTGTGCTCGCTGGGGGGGGGTTGGCTAAAATGAGCAATAATGTTATTGTGAGCGATTTTTGGGGAAGGTGGATCCAGCTGACAGCAGAAAACCCACTGGAAGGTGGGGAGGGGGTAATAAACATATCTGAAGAACAATCCCAGAGACTGAGAAACCGGGGTGACTCCTGGAATGGACAGGAGGCATTAAAATATGTGGTTAAATTTATGCAGCAGCCAGCATGACGATGGAGTCCTGCAGCGTTGTAAGGCAGCTCTCCGCCATATTAACTTTTCGAAGCTGGATGGAAGTGACAGCTCAGACATGTCAGTAGCTCAGGAGGGAGTTCTTGGGCTTAAATCCTCTACAGGCTCATCTGCTGGAAACAATATGCAACCCGTTATAGATGCAAGGAAGGAAGTTCTTCTCTGACAGGTGTCACTACCAATCCTGGATGTTGATGAGGACACGAAAAATGCTCCTTAAGGCTCTTTGTCCTTTGCTCCGTACTATAATTCCTCCCAGAAGCGATGATTTTGCCAGTCTGATAGAAATTTTTTTGTCTTCTTACATAATCCCGCCACAGCACTGCTGCCAGGAGAGATAAGAGTGATGTCAAACAGCGGGTTCATACATGTGTGTGTGTGTGTGTGTGTGTGTGTGTGTGTGTGTGTGTGCACTGTCTTCTCAATCCCCAGTGAGTTGTGGCGGATGGCCGCTTACACTGATCCAGGTTCTGTTAAAGGGAAGTTTTCCTCTCCACCGTCACTACATGCTTGCTTAGTATGAGGTTTGCATCGAGTCACTGACAGAACAAGTCAGTGGCTCGATGCAATCTGCTGGGTCTCCTTTTGTAAGAAACTTTGATTGGGCGTTGAATTGAAATCTGAATTAAAATGCTAGGATTTAGATGGAATCTGGATCTTTTGCAGCATAAACCTAAACTTGTTTTCTGCATGAAATTTGTGAAATTGCCCTACCTTCTCTAATTTTGTCATTAATGTCTGAGCACAACTCATTACATTGAATTCCACAAATCCAAAGCTGCAGATCATATTACTGTTAGAAGCATCAGGAATAGCTATTTGACCCCTGCAGCTGGTTTATTTCATTGCGAAAATCAGCATGCTGTGCCTCAGAAAGGACGGGCGATGACGAAACGACTTTAAAATCCTTTAAAGGTCAGGCAACGTTAAAATAGGAAGAAAAAGGTAAATGATTGTGTTGCTTTAGGGAACTCTAGTGAATGAGGATGATGCAAGTGAGCAGAAATAGGAATGCAATCGATGCAACCGGCAGGTAAGAGCAGCTGCAGGAGAAAGGTGAAAAAGAGAATAACAACACTTAGCTATAAATGCATTCAGAATCTAAATTATGATGGATTCTAAAGCTTAAGTGGCATATTTAGACTCAAAACTGGTCTTTCTATTAATAAAACATGATAAACACTGATTTAATATTATCACAGGCAGTTTTTCTCTTCATTTCTGACTTATTAAGCCTACTTTCATCTACTTTCAGAGGCACATTCAGGGAGTTTTGGTTTAAAAAAAAATTCAGTTATTATAAGTTGTTAGTGCAAGTTGAAAAGGACAAAAATAACTCAATTTTTTATGAAACTTTGGAAATGCTATGTGCTTTTGGCCCCATTTGCTTTGCTTTAGCTAAAGCAGCTTGTCAGTATTATCTTTTAGCTTAGTTAAGTGTTTGGAACATTGAAAACCCATTTTTTAATGTTTATTTCTGATAATAATCGGTCACTGTGAGTTTTCCATGCAGGCTGAACATGAAAATAGCGAGCCTAAGTCACGCCCATCTACTTCCAGACCATGGATCCCCGGAAGAACGAAAAAAATGAATGCAAGTCAGTGGGGCTAAAAACGCAATTTTCTAATTCTGCTTGTTGTGTGCAATATATTTCACATATGATGAGACGATGAGATGTCCAAATTTAAGGAAATAAGACTCAAAAACCTGCCATCTGAAGCTCAGCTGTGATGTGGCTCACTTCTAGCTCCTGGAAATGGTGTTCATGCCCCAATGCATTCATTCCTACTGGAGACCACTGCAAATGTACTGATTAAACCAGTGCTCCACACCTTTAAAAGGAACTCCGGCTATGAGGACGTGTACGCCCTAATAAGCCACAAGTTTTCTATTGTACCAAACTATGTTGTTAGAAACACACAAAACATTGCTGGTTATTTATAAATCTATAATATCTAGTACATTTTTGGACATACGTACCGTAAATCCTCTAATACAGGCCCGACTCAAGCTCATCAAGCTCCAGGCCTTTATTGGAAGGAGGACAAGAATTAGAGGCAGGCCTCAATTTCTATTTGAGCAAAATGAACCAATGGTTCGCTGGAGTTTTTGACAATTAAAATTGCGCCCACATTTTCTAAGTTAACACATCTCTTTTAACAACGGTAGTTTCTGCTTCAGCCCTCTCCCCTCCCCCTGTGCAGCGGCCGCAAACTCACTGATGCGCCTGCAGCCTCTCGGAGTTCCTGCTGCTCTAAACATTAAAATAATTATTTTATTTTCTGTTCCTCACTTCTGATTACCTTCAATGGTGTCTGTTTGTTGCAACCACCAGGTACAAAAACTAACTTGTTTTTATTTGACTATTTTTCTGTCCTGCCTGCTTATTATCTTCCTGCATCTCCTCTCAGTCCTAAAGAAAAACTGCTACCTGGCTTCATATATATTCACCTCATGAGTTACCTTTGAACTGTAGTTCTAAAAGATAACAACTAACGTTCTAGGGTACCTCTCAGCCAATAGCGATGGCAGATTTAAATTCAAATGCAGTGCAGAGTTTTTACCTGACAACGGCACAACACTGACAGTTTTAGGCAGACATTAAAATTTGAACTAAGATGCACTAAAGTGCAAAACTATTGACTACATGTGTCTGCAGCATGATTAGACACGCATTTATATATTTTATCAGAAAAATAAATGAATTTGGGGTGATTTGCTCTTTAAGTTTAAAAAATAGCAAACTGTTACCTAATTGCTATCGAACCTCAGACATTATAAAATCATACACCAATAAATATTCTGAGATGGAGATAAAAATACATTCGAAGCAAATGAGAAATGTATTACTGCACACAAACCAACAAAATCACAAAGTGACCTCGTTGCTCAGAAATCAACAAGTTTACTTGTTGGACAGAGTGACGGGAGGCATTTTTGTGGAATCCCTTCTGTGTGTGTGTGTGTGTGTGTGTGTGTGTGTGTGTGTGTGTGTGTGTGTGTGTGTGTGTGTGTGTGTGTGTGTGTGTGTGTGTGTGTGTGTGTGTGTGTGTGTGTGTCAGGGGGTGGGGGTCGCTTCCTTTGCAGCACTGCTTGGAGATATGGGAGCCTGTATCTTCTGAATAATTGTTGCCATGGAAACAGTTGACACTCCAGCAGCCTACACAGGTGCCGATGGTGCCTCCAACAGAAAGCATTTTTGAAAATCATTTACTTTTTGACATTTAATGGGAATTATGTTAAATCAGATCAGAATGTGTGATGATTTGTTGTTTTTTAAAGATGATAATAAATGAATCTTTGACGTTTTAGATCCGATATTTCTAAAGTCATTGTAGGAAACATAAAAACAGTTTCTGAAGATCATTTTCCTCCTCTTGTTGTCTGCAGCACTACTGTCTGTTCGTGCTCTCCAGAGGCCTGGTGGGTATCGGAGAGTCCAGCTACTCCTCCATCTCTCCCACCATCATCGGCGACCTGTTCACCAGTAACAAACGCACCATGATGATCTCAATTTTCTACCTGGCCATCCCACTGGGAAGGTAATAGGCAGGCAGATGTTGCTGCGCAGTTTTTAAAAATGTTGAATTATTTTAAACATTTTATCAGATGCTGAAACCAGGAGCATTTGGAGTGAATTTGAAACCTCGATCTCTGCCAGAAAGGAACCACAAAGACTCTCTGGGAGTGGGTGTAGGGTTTTGAGCCACTGGCAGAAGACAAACAAATCCAAACACTAAAACGATAGATGCTGCAATGGATCCGTCACACGAGTCACCTCTGCGTATCAACATGTGGCTGAAATGCTTCGTTCTGAGTAGTTTTTTTAATCTTCTGCGACGCAGATTCAATCTGAGGATGACGAAGGAGGAAGGATGTTCTGGAGTTTCTTCAACATTACATTATATGTCTGTAATTGTATAACCTGCAGCTTTGGATTGTTCCAGGTGAAATTACAGTTATATAAGCAGCTCTGTTCTTAAAATCAGACTGGAGACAGTGATGAGGAAAAGGGAAAAACAGAGCTGCCCTCTGATTGGTCATGGAAAAACAGTTTGCCAAGCGTTTAGGACAGTGTAAACGAACAATGGAAGGTGGAAGTCTGGACTCTAGTAAAGGACACTCAGTTGGTCTCCTGTTTGTTTGTCTTAACCAGTGATGTTCTGATCGTTTCCAGGAAATGACCTCAGGAATTCACAGGAAATGGTTTTTGGCTCCACGAACAGATCAGCAAGCCACGATGGCATTTATGAGTGTTTTTAAGCATTTATTGTGGGTGCTGAACTTTCCAAACACACCCTGACTCTGATAAGACTGTTATTCACAAACAAGCAGTTACATGCGGTCAGATGAAGTTCATGCTGAACTCTAATGTGTGAAATGCATGTTAGATGTGATCTGGTGAGGTCATTCGTCTTTTCTGGTCAGAAGCTTTGAATCTGCCGAAAACCATGTGACACATCAGCGTTGTTGTTATGGTTACATCATGAAAAGTCACCAGACGAGTTTCGTGAACAATTAACAGGAAATCAAGAGCCAGTTTCCATAGTAACGGCCCCTATTACAGTCAGAAAACGTATCCAGTGTTAATATTGTTGACAACTTTCTTATTGTTTACCTCAGGTTATCAGTTCCTGTGACATCACAGTCAACAAATCAGCCTTTGAGCACATTCTCCTGCGTGTTTACATGAACACATTAAAAGTATTCAAACAAAGCTGATTGTGGTGCCTTGATCATTTTTATCTCAGACTTTTAAGTAATTAGCTCAGCTTTAGTCACAGAGCAAACAGGAAGTGAGCCCATCTGGTGTAAGTGACGACTCTTTATAGATAACATGCACCGATAGATCAAAGAGGCTTTGTGCTAATGTGCTAACTTTGTGTCCCTCTGCAGTGGGTTGGGTTACATCCTGGGCTCCGGTGCGAAGGACGCCGCCAAAGACTGGCACTGGGCATTAAGGGTAAGGTCATCATCAGCTTCCAGGCCTCTGCGCTAACACTAAAATGCAGATGAAAGCTTCAGGAGACACTCACAGGCTTTACAGGCGATCCCAGATGTGACAGATCAGAGAGCTGCAGGCTGATCAGCTGTCAAAGTGCTCCTACAGAAATACTCCCAGAAATGGTGACTTCAGAAGTGTGTCTGAAATAAAAAGCTGTTACATTTAGCTGGGAGAGGATTGTCTCTGTTAAAACAACATAAATGTCAGCTTCACTTGTTAGCTAGTTTTTGTTTCTAATGTGTTTTTTTCACTGAAGGATAGTAAAATTGCTTTCCATGCTGATTTCCTATTTTAAAACAACTCTATAGAGTGTGCTCACTTACTGTTTATTTATGTGGCGAGGCTAAATTAGAAGCAAAAATCACTTTTTTATTGGGAATCCACTGAGTGCTTGAAACTAAATGCTTATTAAAGCTGTGGTGCGTAGTGTAAAAATGGTAAAGTAACTCAAAAAATGCTTACATTTGATTCTCAGTCCCAATCCTACAATCTAGACTATCATTTGCCGAAGTAAAATTGACGATCTTGCAACTCTCCATTGCATCGGTTGAATCATAGTGCTCTATTGGTTTGGTGGGCCAATCACAGCACTCTGTTGGTGGGCGGGATGTTACTGATAAAACAACAATGAGAACGGCTCCTTTGAAATGGCTTTGGCATCAAATGGACTATTTAGATTTGGGCTTTTCTTTGACTGAAGAGCAGAGGTACTTGGGTTTATTTAGAAAAAGGATGTATTTGCATCTTCTTTGATGGAGTATGACAGACTGCCACGTAACAGTGACATCATGTTGCTTGTTATCCAATAGAATTCGGAGACAGTTTGAAAGACAACCGTTGATCTCGCTCTACAACTGAGAGCCATCAATGGCCCATGGCCAGACTATAAATTCACATATATAGGATGGCTTGCCAGGCTAATCTGTCCCAATTCTATGATATAATGTAGGTAATTTTTCATAATTTAAATTTCCCTCCCCATGGCCTCCACTGCAGAACGAATCATTTACATGAGCCTGTAGAGCTTTGACCAGCTCAGTTGCATATTCCCAAGCGCGAGCTGAGCATTAACGAGAATGTGCCCCAGTTTTCAGCATGCACTAAAAAAGAGATGCGGGCACCTCAGTTAGCCTAGCACACCAACCTAGCATGAATGCTATCTCAACCTGCACTTAATTAATATCAATCTGTAAACTTCAAGTAAACTGTGGAAGAGGAGGGAGGGGAAATGAATTAATCCTTTTTGTACAGGAGATAAGTTATTAGCATAGCGTTCAGCCTGTCTGTTTTAGCATTAGCAAGCTAGCATTGCAAGTGCTGGAAGCCTTGGAGCTTTTAATATTGTTTATTGTCACGCTGTCAGACGCGACAGAGTTAAGAAAGCAGCCAAAATGCTATACTGTATGTTAGCTTTGGCCAGATTTTCTTATTGTGGCAAGGTGGAGAAATGAGGACCCGGGTAGGATTCGATCACCAGACTCCCGGGTGAGAGTCATGCGTGATAACCAGTCAGCCAAAGGGACATCCCCTTGGCCAAGTAGCCAGGGCGCATGATCAATCGGAACACTGTGGTAGGACGCTCACACTGCCACATCATCATCCTTCCACCCCAAGTAGGCAGAGGGATTGTGTCCCGTTTGAGCTCTGATAGCATGAATGGATCGCATCGTCCATTTATGGTCACAATGTAAACAAATGCTGAACCAGAAGTAGGTTGCATTGAATAAGGAATAAGGTGGCAGTTCAAATTGATGATGTCATTCCATGGACCTCAGCTTTAGGTGAACCCTTCTATAAGGCTTACGAGCCATTACAAAAAAAACAAAAATCCCCAAAACAAATCATAACCTTGCTTCTATCGTGATCGAGTCATAATCTAAGGAAGGTGTTCAACATTCTCTGACCATGTAGGGGTGGAAAACTAATCCTGGGCAGGAAGTCTTTTTAAGGTATTAGAAAAACAAACAAGGGTGATGAGACGTGTATGTGTGTGTGTGTGTGTGTGTGTGTGTGCGTGTGTGTGGGTGGGGGTGGGGGTATTTGTTCCAATGCAGCCACAATGACATTCCAATAAAACAATCTTAAAGCAGATTAATCACCGGTGTGGCATGCAGAGGAAGGCAAATACCAAGACATGAAACGGGTTTGGGTTTGGCAGCATCCTGTTTTAATGAAAAGAGAAAAAAAAACACTCGGCGCTTCCGTTTGTTTTTGTCCGGCGTGTTCCAGTGACCTTCCTGGAGTAAAATAACGGGAGATCCAAAGTAGTGAGTGAGAGCTAATTTGTTGGATTGGCCACCATCCCCACAGGAAGTGCTTAATGGGTCCCGTAGGAGCTGAGGTCAGAGGTCACGGACTCCCGATGTTCTGTTGAATAACCCTTAAAGGGGCTTGAAAACACAAAAAGGAAAATGTGTTTATGCTCAGTCGGAGGAGCAGTTATTACATCATCAGGTTCTGATGTTGATTCAGCTGAGTTGCTACACACTAGCAGGAGGAAACAATACAGGACAGTAAGTGATGAGCGTTGATGTACTCTGGATCTGGTGTGGCGACATGTCCACATTTTACTGTGGACGTGCTGATGAACAGAAATAGGCATTAAAAAGCTGCAAACACACACACACACACACACACACACACGTACAAACCTGCAGCCACATGAGCCATAACGGATGATCGTAAACATAAAAGCAGATGAGCAGCTTCCAGGTTTTCACCTGCTTACAAAAGCCAAAAAGCTCTTTTAGTCGACTGCGAGCCACGGACAAGCGCCACACCCACACACGAACACACACACGGTGCTGGAAAAGTGAGCAAAGGGAATGTTGTCCATTTCTTGTATAGGAGGTCAGGGGCATCAGCAAACAGTAGCTGTGCATTCAAACTGTAAACGCATAATTCTTTCATGTTTTAGTCCCGCTCTCGTGTTGACACAACGGAAGCCCTCTGAACTGACAGACTGACTGTTTTCTAGGTGTCCCCCCTCCTGGGTATCACCGCAGGAGCTTTGATCCTGCTCTTTGTGCCAGATCCAAAAAGAGGCGACACTCACCAGAAGGGAGGACGCATGAGGACCAGCACCTCCTGGATCTACGACATTAAAGCACTCCTCAAGAAGTAAGACCTGAGCTAACACCACAATCAGCTGTTTCTAATTTCTGTCAAACAGAGCTTTACCTGCTTTTTCTATTTTATGAATGAGAATCATTCTTCTTACGTCAGACAAATTCCACAAGATTAATAAATATGGAGTTTATTAGAGTCATTCTTCAGAGAGCAGCTATGTCTAACTACTGGCACTCCCCCTCCTTCACCTGCCGTGGGACTGAAAATAGAGTCAAACTGTTATTTTTGTGTCTAAAATGAAACAGTCAGCATCACGTCACATCAGTCACTTCTAAAACAGTCTCAGGAAGAAATTACATCCAAGCCTGGTGAGGAGAGTAAATAATGCTGAAAAGTTAAACCTGTTTTATTTTCATGGAAATTCTGACTTTTTGGGTCTCAATTTTCTCTTTTTGTTGCCACAATGAATGAAAAAAATTACGATTTTATCATACAGCATAGGAGAGCCCTTCACTCGTGCACTTCTTGTTTTTGATTTGAGCAACTTTATTGACAAGTAGATGCACACGTAACAACTACAAGGAAGTTGTTTCAGTCGTTTTAAATTCATATTTCATAGAGTATAATAGCACCACATACAAACATGCTGCTTTGAACACTGAAACTTAAAGAGTCGTCAACCCATATCAACTGTTTTTGCTGATTAAACTGTATAAATTAGTGTTCAATAGTGCTATACATGCATAGACAATATTTTGGCACTTTAGTGCCTCCTAGTTAAAATTTAAATAAAACTGTCAGTGTTGCGCCCTCTTCAGGTAAAAAGTGCACTGCATTTGAATTTAAATCTGCCATCGCGATTGGCTAAGAGGTACACTGTGACGTTAGCTGGTACCTTATGATGTCACAATGTCGTTGTCAGCCTGTGTGTGTGTCTGTATTTGTTAGCAGCTCTGCCCTCTCGGTCTGCTAGTTAACAACATTTTTCAAACAGGAATTGGGAGAGGAGTAAGACTCTGGTAGGAGGTGGCTTGCTCTTTAATAGTCAAAGCAACACTACTTTCCTGGTTCTCTGTCCTACTGGTTGACAATGGAATTACAAGTGTCGTAAACTACCTGCCACATTTTGCTGTGGCTAGCACTAACAGTTAATGATAACACAAGCCAACTGATACTAAATAAGCCACAAAGTAAAAATATCCACATTGTTGGACTAATTACTTACAAGTCCAGTAGCAACAGAGGCAGATCCCCATCAGTGTGGGATTTTGTACCCTCATTTAATCTCTTCAAACGAGTGTAGGCCGCGTCCATGTTCACTCCGGTTTCGGCCCTTTGCTTCGCCTTCAAAACATTATTCTCCTACTTTTCCTTCCAGGCTCCACCATGATGCCAACAAAAAAGAAGCAAACTTCTTTTCCTTCTTATTGGGCTTTTATTGCTGATGGCTGGCAAACTAACAAACCTAACTGATAGCCTTTATATTAGCTGCCGGCAAAGTGAACGGCTAACAGCCATAAAGAAGGCAGAGAACGCCCCCTAGTGCACCTACCGTCTTACAAAACTATTTAGCGCATCTTCTGGTCAGCAGAGGGCCACAGCATGCTGTCAATGTGATAATGATAAAGTTTCTACCTACAGAATCACAAAAACCCACTTTTAAAGGATTAGCTTAAAGTGTAAAAACTCTTTAGTGCAGCTTTAACTCCTGAAAGAAAGTTTTTGTTTGGAATTGTATTAAAGTTTGCCTGTTTCATCATAGAAATTACAAAGTTTGGGAATAGCTGTAGCTTGTTTCTTCCAAGTCAGTCACATGTGTTATTTTATGTGTGTTTTTTTTTCCCTGGTCAGTCGCAGCTACATGTTCTCTTCCCTGGCGTCGGCAGCAGTGTCCTTTGCTATAGGTGCCTTTGGCATGTGGATTCCCATCTACCTGTTCAGGGCCCAGGTGGTGCAGAAGATAGCGGTGCCCTGCACTAAAGGAATCTGCCGCAGCACAGACAGGTGAGCCCCCCGTTTCATCTGTATTGTTTCGTTTGTTTGTTTCCTTCTTGCTGGTTGTATGAATTTATAAATAAAAACAATCATTGTTTCCTTCCAGCCTGATCTTTGGGGCGATCACCTGCGTGACGGGACTGCTGGGCGTGATCATCGGGTTTGCCACCACCCGCTTCTTTCGCAAGAAGACGGATCGAGCTGATCCGCTTGTGTGTGCTATCACCATGCTGGGGTCAGCCATCTTTATCTGCATCATTTTCGTGGTGGCCAAGAAGAGCATTGCTGGAGCTTATGTAAGCATGTTTTTCTGTTTTATCCAGAAGAGAAAAGCCTAAAAACTGATTTACTCTTAGAATAAAAGAACACAAAGCATGACAGCAGTTCTTTTCTGGCCCGATTATTGGTGTCCCTTCTTGTAATTATGAGCTTTAATTGCACGTTAGATTTAAATGACCTCAGAAGCTGCTGCAGGTAGCTGCGGTTTACACCTCCTTTGGCCACAAGTTAAGAGTCAAGAGAGCAAATAAGCACAGCTCTTGTGGGTGTAATTACCTTGAAAAGCAGGAAAGGGTGCCACTTCTCCGTCACTCCCTCAGAACAATATGCTTAGGATTTTTGGTCTAACCAAACACTTTTTTGTCTTTTATCAGTAACAAAAAAATAGGAAATGACTGTTGGGATGTTGTCAGGTATTAGTGCTGCCAACAGTTTTCCTGTGCATGTGAGAGAACACGTTTTCTTAGCCTGAAAAAAAGAAAGGCTGTGATTGAGATTATGCAGAGTCTGAGTTACCAAGTGTCAAATCAGTGCTGAAATAAACATATTACATATTACGCATAACTCACCTTTTGCAGCTTTCTGTGCTACAAATGTATAAAACATCCATCCGTTTTCTGTCAATATTTGATTTTAGGAATTATGTGCCTTAAACAAGCCATTTGAAAAACTCACAGTTTGTGATGTCACAAAAAGGTAAATAGGCACAGAACACCTCTCACTTGTCTACACTAGAGGAGCGGCTCTACTCTGAACCCCTCCTGTATTTGTGAGCTTTTCAGCTTATAGCAGCCCAAGTGAGGTAGGAGTGGGTGTGGCCAACTCCAGCTTGTTTTCTTAAAGTGGCAGAGCCCTGAAATGGCTCATTCTGGAAGGTACTGAAACTGTCAAGAAAAAAACTGCTGAAATGCCTTTATGTGAGAGGGGTTTTGCTCAAAGAACTTCGTAAACATGTTTTGTCTCGACCATTTTATAACTTAAGAAAAAGGTCTTAATATGTCCCCTTTAAAGGAAGGAGTTATAGTTTTCTTATAGTTTTGGTCAAATCTTGGCAATGCACAAACTCATGCAAAACTGAAAAAAACTGAAGTGATCACTTTGAACCTAGAGTGTGTACGATAAAGTACTTTCAGCTGCAACGACTCCAAATTTTAGCTCATTTTCTCTGAGATTGACTAAGTTGTGGTCATTTAGGTGTTTGAATTGGGGCAGATGTGCATCCAGACTTTCTGAGGATCTCATCCATCATGTGAAATGAGAGACTTTGCACCGAGACAAAGACACATGCAGAAGGTTTATCGGATTATTTTTGATGCTGGGCAGCGACAATGATAATAATTTAGGTTTAATGAGGTACGGTTTGTATTGACTCCTGTTGGGTCAAAGGTGCACATTTAGCAGGTGTTTGACAGCGGTGTGACTCAACCAATTAGCTTACTTCCCGATTATCTGCCCAACTCAATTTAAAACACTTCCTCCTTCACCTTCTCCTAATGAACTCACACACCCATGCTTTCTACCTATTTTGCAAAGGATGGAGATGCCCGTTTAATGATTCATGTCCTCTGTCGCTTCTCTTCTGCACCGTATCAAATCATCCCAGGTATGAGAGAAGCTCAGGTTTCTTTGCAAAGAGCTGACTGATGTGTCACATTATAAGGCGTGACATGGCTGTAGCAGTCGGACGGCTCTGTTCAAGCAGCTCGACTCCTTGCAGCTGTTGTCTCCTCAACACGTTGTTAAGTTGAGGAAAAGGCTGAGGTTCTTTCTTCTGGAAGGCAACATGTCGGTCACGGTGACTGCTTGTCTGCGTCTCCGCTGTCAGCTCCCTGCTTGAGCTCTCTGTACGTTACTGTAGGTCTGGCACTGATGGCTGTGGAGGGTTATTCCCCAGCAAGAAACACATCAGTCAGCTGTGTTGAAAGCATCTGAGATGAAACCAGCCAGTAGAGATACATGAGATTCCACTGCAACCAAATCCCTCTAGGTGTGTTTTTTAGGAAAGGAGCGGCAGCTGCGTGCAACCCATACAGGAAGTTATTTAAAGTACTTAACTAAAACTCCACCCTTGCTGAAGCAGGACATAAATTCACATAGTCAAAAAAACAAAATGTTTTTCACTTAGAAAATCTTTGACAAGAATAAACAATTGTTGTCATCCTGTGCCGGTTTCCAGCTCAATGAAGGCCTGCACATCCCCACAGAACCGGGCCACAGCATAATTACATGTTTTTGAGCCACCACAACCAACGACCTTTTTTTAGACGAATTGGGTTCTCACACAATAAAAACAAAGGTTTTCCTACTCCTTCTCTTGCTTTGTTCTTTTTAAATTCAGTTTGAGTTCTGATCATGGAATATTGCTTCTTCATTTAGATTTGCATCTTCATCGGAGAGACGCTGCTTTTTGTGAACTGGGCCATAACTGCTGACATTTTAATGGTAAGGACAGAGAACTCACTGAATGTAAATGCACATCACACTTCTATGGAGGTTACATTGTCGTTTTATTAAAGTAACACATAACAGACCTCTTATGATGAATTATATAAATGGAAACCGTGTTCCCTCGACCGGACGTGGGTCACCGGGGCCCCCCTCTGGAGCCAGGCCTGGAGGTGGGGCACGTTGTCAAGCGCCTGGTAGCCGGGCTTTCACCTATGGAGCCTGGCCAGGCTCAGCCCAAAGAGGAAACGTGGGTCCCCCTTCCCATGGGCTCACCACTCGTGGGAGGGGCCAAAGGGGTCAGGTGCAGTGTGTGACGGGTGGTAGTCGAGGGCGGGGGCCTTGGCGATCTGATCCTCGGCTACAGAAGCTGGCTCTTGGCACATGGAATGTCACCTCTCTGGTGGGGAAGGAGCCTGAGTTGGTGTGTGAGGTTGAGAGGTTCCGACTAGATATAGTCAGACTCACCTCAACGCATGGCTCTGGCTCTGGAACCAGTTTCCTTGAGAGGGGTTGGACTTTCTACCACTCTGGAACTGCTCCCACTGAGAGACGCCAAGCAGAGGTGGGCATACTAGTTGCCCCCCATCTTGGTGCCTGTACGCTGGGGTTTACCCCAGTGAATGAGAGGGTGGCCTCCCGCCGCCTACATCTGGGGGGACGGGTTCTGACTGTGGTCTGTGCTTATGCACCAAACTACGGTTCAGACTACCCACCCTTTTTGGAGACCTTGGAGGGGGTGCTGGAGAGCGCTCCTTCCGGTAAGTCCCTCGTTCTGCTGGGGGACTTTAATGCTCACGTGGGCAACAACAGTGAGACCTGGAGAGGTGTGGTTGGGAGGAACGTCCCTCTAATCTGAATTCGAGTTGTGTTTTGTTTTTGGACTTCTGTGCCAGTCATGGGCTGTCCATAATGAACCCCATGTTCAGACATAAAGTTGTCCATATGTGCTCTTGGCACCAGCATACCTTAGGCCGCAGCTTGATGATCGACTTTGTTGTTGTTTCATCTGACCTGCGGCCGCATGTCTTGGTTACTCGGGTGAAGTGAGGAGCGGAGCTATCAACTGACCACTATCTGGTGGTGAGTTGGCTCAGATGATGGGGGAGGATGCGGGTCAGACCAGGCAGGCCCAAACGTATGGCAAGGGTCTGCTGGGAACATCTGGCAGAGTCTCCTGTCAGAAGGAGCTTCAATTCCCTCCTCTAACAGAACTCCCAAAATGTTCCGGGGGAGGCGGGGGACATTGAGTCTGAATGGACCCTGTTCCATGCCTCCATTGTTGAGGCGGCCGACCGGAGCTGTGGTCGCAGGATCGTCGGTGCCTGTCGTGGGGGCAACCCCCAAACCCGCTGGTGGACACCGGCAGTTAGGGATGCTGTAAAGCTGAAGAAGGAGTCCTGTCAGGTCTTTTTGGCCTGTGGAACTCCGGAGGCAGCTGATGGGTACCGGCAGTCCAAGCGGAACGCGGCTCAGGTGGTCGCCAAAGCGAATGACCACAGTCACCCATTCTTGTCATGTGTCTTGCCCATGTATGTCTGATCTCTGAATTGTGTGTACTGAAACTCTAATTTCCCTCTGGGATTAATAAAGTATCTTTGATTTGATTTGATTGATGTCTTCCAGTGAGGAAGCAGAGTCTGGGGACTTTGGGTTGGCCTCTTAAATCTCTGGTGCTGAGGTCACTGAGGTGGTTAAAAAACTCCTCTGTGGCAAGGCTCCAGGGGTGGATGAGATCCACACGGAGTTCCTTAAGGCTCTGGATGTTGTGGGGCTGTGTTGGCTGACGCAGCTCAGCAATATCACGTGGACATCGGGGGCAGTCCCACTGGACTGGCAGACTGGGGTGGTGGTCCCCTTATTTAAAAGGGGGGTTACAGGGTGTGTTCCAACTACAGGGGGATCACACTCCTGAGTCTTCCTGGTAAGGTCTATTCAGGGGTTCTGGAGAGGAGGGTCCATCGGATTGTTGAACCCCAGATTCAGGAGGAGCAATGTGGTTTTCGTCCTGGCCGTGGAACACTGGACCAGATCTATACCCTTAGGGGATCCTGGCGGGTGCATGGGAATTAGCCCAACCAGTCTACATGTGTTTTGTGGATTTGGAGAAGGCGTTTGACCGCGTCCCTCGGGGGCCATGTGAGGGATACTCCGGGAGTATGGGGTACCAGGCCCTCTGATACGGGCTGTTAGGTCCCTGTATGACCGGTGTCAGAGCTTCGTCCGCATTGCCGGCAGTAAGTCGGACTTGTTCCCAGTGAGAGTTGGACTCCGCCAAGGCTGCCCTTTGTCACCGATTCTGTTCATAACCTTTATGGACAGGATTTCTAGGCGCAGCCAAGGTGTGGAGGGCATCTGTTTTGGTGGCATGAGGATCAGGTCTCTGCTTTTTGCAGATGATGTGGTCCTCAGAACGTGATCTTCAGCTTTCGCTGGAGCGGTTTGCAGCTGAGTGTGAAGCAGCTGTGTGAAGCAGCTGCGATGAGAATCAGCTCCTCTAAATCTGAGATCATGGTCTTGATTCGGAAAAGGGTAGAATGCCTTCTCCGGGTCAGGGATGAGATCCTGCCCCAAGTGGAGGAGTTTAAGTATCTCGGGGTCTTATTCACGAGTGAGGGAAAACTGGAGCGTGAGATCGATAGGCGGATTGGTGCTGCATCTGCAGTGATGCAGGCGTTGTACCGGTCTGTCGGGGTGAAGAGAGAGCTGAGTCAGAACGCAAAGCTCTCGATTTACAGGTCGATCTACGTTCCTACCCTCACCTATGGTCACAAGCTTTGGGTAGTGACCGAAAGAACGAGATCGCGGATACAAGCGTCCAAAATGTGTTTTCTCCAAAGAGTGGCTGGGCTCTCACTTAGAGATAGGGTGAGAAGCTCGGTCATTCGGGAGGGGCTCGGAGTAGACACGCTGCTCCTCCACATTGAGAGAAGCCAGTTGGGGTGGCTCAGGCATCTGGTTGGGATGGCCTCTAGATGCCTCCCTGGTGAGGTTTTCCAGGCACGTCCAACCGGGAGGAGACCTAGAGGTAGACCCAGGACACGTTGGGGGGGACTATGTTTCTCACCTGGCCAGGGAGTGCCTTTGGGTTCCCCTGGAGGAGCTGGCCCGGGTGGCTGGGGAGAGGGAAGTTTGGGCCTCTCGCCTTGGGCTGCTGCCCCCACGACCCGACTCCGGATAAGCGGATGAAATATGGATGGATGGATGGATGGATAACAGTTTCCAGCTTCTCTGCTCTATTGGTTGAAAGTGGAATTACAAGTGGTTTGTGTTGGTTGAAAGTGGAATTTGAGCCTGAAGAAGCCGGCAGCCGTCGGCGAAACTGTAGCGTCAATAACAGGTAACAAAACCGTTTCTGTGTTTTAAAAAAGAACGACAACATGGAATTACAACTGTCAAAAAAACACTGCAGTAGTCTGCTGCAGCTAATCCTAACAACGAGCTAGCACCATAATGAGCCAACTAATACTAAATAAGCCACACATTAAAAAGATCCACACTGCTGGGCAAAACATGACTTACAAGTCCAGTAGCAACAAAGCCAGGTCACCATCAACCAGTGATTTCATAGCTGCTCTTCTTCCAATGAGTGTAGGCCACGCCGACGGTTTTAGCTTTTAGCTTCACCTCCAAAGATATAACTCTGTGACATTTACTTATAGGCTCCACCATGATGCCAACAAAAAAAGCTAATCTCTTTTTTTCTTCTTTTTGTGTTTTTTATTGACGATCAGCAAACTGAAAAAACTGACAGGGGAGAGTTTCTTAAAAACTGGAAACTATGTACCCCCGCTTTAACGGCTGAACTAAAAACCAAATGAAATTGTATATTTTTTGTTTGAGTCAAGAGAGGTCTTTCATCACCCACAGCAAGGCCCCGCCCACAAAACTAACTTTCATCTCAAACAAAAAAGGCGATTCAAACATAAAAAGTTTTTACAGCAAATAATGGAGATGGACAAAATTTCTGGTTTTCAAATTAAAATAATTTTATTATTTTCATTACTTTTTTGTTTGAACGATAAAGAAAAAAAAACCTCCATGCACTCATCTGATTTTTATCTGAGAGGAGAAAAACCTGTAAATTCACTTCACAGATCTGCACCGGTTTGTGTTGGTCTATCACACGTGGTTGAAATTAGACAAAATGCAGAAAGTGACACGTATTTGAAAGAAAACAGGAAGCCCAGTGGATGAAGCTTAGCTGACGTGATTCACAATTTATTCTCACCTGAATGAGTGAATCCGGATCCTAATGCCACATATTTTCAGCAACCCGTCTCTTTGTTCTTGCAGTTTGTCGTTATTCCCTCAAGGAGAGCAACAGCCCTTGCCTTCCAGAGCTTCACCACTCATCTCCTGGGCGATGCGGGAAGTCCGTATCTGATCGGTCAGGTAAGACCCATAACAGCAGCTCTGAGATCTGGACAGAAAGTGCAATGTACATACCTGGGGGTTTAGATCAGCACCTCATTCATAAACACATTCACATGCCAGCTATTGCTTAAGTGGGCCAGAGGAAAATGTAGCACATGAGGAGCTTTTAGCACACATCTCAGGAGAGCTGTGATTTCTTCGCTCCTCTTCAGGCAATCAACAATATCTTCTAGCAAATCTGTGTCTCCCAGGAGAGGAGATGCCAATTTTACTGTTAGATTGGTCGGGAGATGAGAGAGGGGTCCTTCCCGGGATGCTGGGTTCCCTCTCTTTTGACTGAGGCATGTTCACCCAAAGGAAAGCATCCAGGAAGGAGTGAAAATGCTGCTGCTGGAGATTCAATGGAGCGTGAAAAAGGATCCACCTCATTCCTCCCATTTAAAGCCGAAAAGGAATATTTCTGAAGTTTAATAGTCACTTTGTGGAGGACTGTTGAAGGGAAGAAAAAAGCAATTGTCATAGCGTGTCACACGCCATCCGCACCTATTTTATCAGTGTAATTTAGTCCCAGTGAATGAGACAGAATAAAGGGCTTTTTCAACATGGGTTTACATTCTATTTTATCGCCGTGAGTCTGAATTACTTCAACAAAAGCACAGGAGGTCTTTGGTTAAGTAAATCTGACTGATTCTCAAGATCCACTGTTCGCGTCTGACGGGACGTCGGCAGGAACAGCTGTCTGCTGAGCTGCTTTCAAACTGCCTGAATGAAATCCTTAAACTATTGTCAAAAGCTGATAAAAGAAGCAGCGAGTTACCTTCTGCAAAAGATGAATCGGAAACAATACAGCCCTCAGAAAAACACTTGTTCTAATTCAGGAAATACGGCTCAATAGATGAAACTTAATCATTTATAAGTAAACTTTGCTAAGCTAGTGTAGGAAATGATTGCAGCAAAGAGAGAAAAAGAGGTTCTGCCATCCTGAATTACTCATGCGTGGCCCTGCAGTTAGTCAGTCCTCTCTGATCCACTCCACTCCACCTCAGGGTCACGACTCTGAGTGACTCGCTGAAATTTCCGGGGGGGTTCCTCCCTGCTGTCCACAGCCTGCCCAACAATGTCCTGAATCCTCAAAGTGCGTCACCACTCACCATCTCGGTTCCTGCGCTGAGGCTTTGGCACACAAGTGTGATGGACGGGTCGTGACGCACGCCGAGCGGGGGCAGATCAGTGGTCGCCCATGCAGATTGGCAGAAACGCTGTGAATTAGCAGGAAAGTTTACCCGAAATGGAATGGCAGGATAAAAAGCCAGTGGCTATCTCTAAGGAACCACAGGAGACAGACAGAGAGAGTGAAGGAGTTAACAATTTTGGTTCACATTTGGACCTAAAGACGATAAACCAGAAGAGAACAACCTTGTGCAAGAAAAGTAACACTTTAGTATGGCTTGGATTCTCGCCTTTTTAAGCTGCTGTCACTCAAGATACCCCCCACCCCCTCCAAGAACACAAGAGCTCCTCCTATAATGTCTGAGTGAGATGTGAACACATGGTTAGCAAGAAATGCCTTCTGGCACGATAATTAGAGAAGCTGCAGCTCTCTGCATATTTTTAGTTGGGCTGCTCGGAGCATATCGCAAAGAATTTACTTTACTTTACTTTAGACACACACACACACACACACACACTCACACACACACACACTCACACACACACACACACACACACACAGCTGCTTGTCACCAGTTTTCCTTTCTCTTGCTCTCACCTTGCACTCCGTGCACAAATGAGAATTTACAGATTCACCCACTTCAACATCCTCCTGTCAGCGATTCTCCAGCTGCCCTCGCATAGACGCTCCATCTGCTGACACTAACATGAAATTGGTGTTATTTGGTCGACCTGACCTACAGCTGCTCCGACTTGGTCGCACACACACAACTAGCCTCTCCTCGTGTTCTCTCTCCTCATCCCTCAACGCAATCCGCCTAAAGTCACCATCAGGATTATCAGCCGTTGTTCTGCAGCGTCCAGTTAATGCTAACCCAGTTTGAGAGCTGCTGGGAGACAGGAATGATCGCTCCATACCCAATTTGTCCAGCTGTTCTTGCTCTCAACATCACGTGCCCAAATGCAGAAAAGACAGATTTTAATTGAAATAATCTGTGGTTTGATAAAACAGGAAATCCAGATGTGTGAAAGCAGCACGGTGTCCGTGGGATATTTTAAGAAATGACTGATTTAAATGAGAGCTCTCTTCTCCTTGGCTCTGCTGCAGATCTCCGACAGACTTCAGAAGAACTATACTACATCAGCGCTATGGCAGTTCCTCAGTTTGGGCTACGCGCTCATGTTGTGTCCCTTCATCATCGTCCTGGGGGGCATGTTTTTCCTGGCCACTGCACTGTTCTTCTTGGATGACAAGGAGAAGGCCGAGAAACAGTGAGTGTACCACCCACCCGTCACTATTTCATTCATTATTAAATCAGACGCTCGTTAAATATTTAGTGTTTGCTTGAGCTGACTCTCTGAGTTAGAAAAACAAAGAAATCCAAACACGAAAATGTTTTATTGATGTTGAGTTTTAGTCTAACCTTGGTGTGGTTGGCACAAGTCAGCGACAAACTTCTCAAAGTGCCGTCCAGAAAGATGCCAACTCTAAAATAAGTGCAACTCAGCACCGGCCATCTAAAAGCTGACTCGCGTCATTCTAGGTCACTTTTAACATTTTTCCTTACATTTTGCTTCCCCTCTGGTTCATGTTTTCCTGTAGCACTAAATATGTGAACCAGCAGTAGCTGGTCAGGGCCTTAAAAAGCTTTAACAAACACACTCATCCTCATCTAAACACAAAGATGGTACTTTTTGTTTCTTTCTGACTATTTTTCCCACTTTTTATCACGCCGGCCTGCTCCCCTGGTACGGCCGCTTTCAGAAACGACTTCCTTCCTGTTGAAGATGAGGAACATTTCTAGACAGGATGGTATTATAATGTCTGACGTCTGTCCGCCGCCACCTCGTCTTCACCCTGTGGGAGACTTTTTCTCACGGTTAAACCAGAGGAAGCTTGAAAACTACTTTTCCATCCTCGTAAGAAGGTTGAAATTTGCAAATGGGATTCAAATAACTGCTAACACTGTATATCAGTGACTTAGCTGTAGCTTTTTTTTAGGGTCAAGCTGTTAACATTTCCTTTTTGGAAGGTTAACATGCAGAATTAAAAGGTTTTTTTTTCCAAAGACAAATACCCATGCTGCCACTGACTGAGCCGCGTTGTGGCTTTTGCTGGATCTGCTCCAGGAAACAAAAAGAACAACTAAAGGAGAAGCTATACTCCTGGAGTTAAGCCACTGATGCTAGTGTGAAGTCAGAGAAGTGTTTCGGACGGTCGAACCGCACTGAGAAGATGGGCTTGATCAAGACACCTGTCAACAACAAAACTAACATTTTGGATGCTGCTGAAAGCTCCACAGTGTTTGAATGGTTTAACTGGATGTGCTTTAAAAAAAATAATGATGCATTGAACTTATATAGCGCTTTTCTAGACACTCAAAGACGCTTTCACACACTCTCACATTCACACCCTGCTAGTGATGGTAAGGTACTTGTAGCCACAGCCGCCCTGGGGAGGTCTGACAGAGGCGAGGCTGCCATTTGGCGCCGTCGGCCCCTCTGACCACCACTAACACAGGCAAGTTGGGTGAAGTGTCTTGCCCAAGGACACAACAGCAGGATACCCCTGGCGGCAGCTGGAATCGAAGCCATGACCCTCCGATCATGAGGCAACCCGCTCTACCACCTGAGCTACTGCTGCCCCAATAATGTTGCATGTCTGCAAGTGCAATGCATCATACAGAAAAAGAACTTTAAAGGGGGCATGCTATGACTTTGTTTTTAATGTTAAAATGGTTATACTCTATATGAAACATGTTAGCGGAGATTTCTGCACAACATCCATCTCACATGAAGTGATCTCACCAGCTCTATTTCTGACATTTAAAGTCCCCGAATGATCCCATTAGTAGGGTTGTAGGATTTATTCCGACTTGCAGCACAGAATGCTGCTGTTGTGTCCTTGGACAAGACACTTTACCCACTTCGCCTGCTGGTGGTGGTCGGAGGGATGCCTGTGGTCGACAGTCTGTCAGTACGTTCCAGTAGCCTGTCCAGCCATGCCGATGCTTCCTTATGGAAATCGAAGGGCCTGGTAACGCTCCCATTCAAATAACCCCACTCCCTGAGTTTGCTGCAGCTCTTTTCTCTGTTCTAAATGACTTTAAAACCATGAGAAGAAGCGCTAAAATACTTTCTTCTAAAGAAAGATGGCGGGCACCTGCTTTTAAACGCTCAGTGAAACGTAAGTAAAGGATAAGCTAACGCCTGAGCCAAGCTAGCTCAAACTGACAGAAACACAAGCGTCACTATTTCAAAATACTTACACCTCTCTCTTCTGCTTATTTGATCTGCTCCCTTCATCAGAAGAAGTTTACTGGCTAATCTTGCCCGAACTACTTTGCGATGTTTTAAAACAGCTTGTTGTAGGCACATAATTCCTAAAACAAAAGCATACGGAAAGCAAATGGGCAGCTGTTTTAATGTTCGGAATGTATATAGAGACAGTAGAGACCTATATGGCAACACAAGAAGTCAGATTAAACAAAAAAATGTTTTGTTTTATTGAATGTATGCAGAAAGCACTTGAAGAGAGTTTAGCTGTTTTAAGGTGTTTTTAACTGCTTTAATGCAACCTAAATGTTGCAAAGCATTGACATTAACATATATAAAGGGTTGCATAAAATGCATAAATGTCAGCATCAATCAGAATCGTGCAACTTGTCCGTAAAAGACCGGGACGATCTGCTAATGGTGCACCAGTTGTGTGGTTTACACTGAACTGTATTCGTGCAGACAGAAGCACGCCTCTCAGAGTATATGGAAGGCCCCTGCTGCAGATTTGTGCTAAACATTCCAGTGAAGAAAAGAGCAGCAGCTCTGTTGTAATGAGCTGCAAACAACACCTCAGGGAGCAAAAAATAAGACAACCGTCAAAATGTTTGTTCCACAAGAGTTGTTTCCGTGACTGTGATATTTATATATTCCATTCATACTATGAACCTCCCAATTTATAATTCCCTCCGACTTTACAGAGTGCTATTCATTTTTTCTCCCTCCTTTTAGTGTGTCCCCAGAAACCCGATGCTATTTATAAAATGCAGCGAGCCGAACGAGTAAATCGCTGGAGCGAGGGCGTCTATTTCCAGCCTTCAAGACTGCATTATTATTCCTGAGTTGTTAGCTTTTTTGGGCTGCAGGATTTCCATTAATAGCTCAGCTTTAGTACACCCACGCATTCAAACAGTCCACATTTGCGCTCAGCGATGTACGAGAGCAGAACTGTCTAATCTGCTGCCTCAACAAGCTCTGACAGAACCAAACTGGAATGGGTCTGGGTCAGCAGCAGGAAAACGAGAAGCAAACATAAAAACCAGATGAGGACTGTGTGATGACTTTAATTAGAAATAAAAGGTTGAAATACACAGAGCAAAAAGAAAGAGAGCAGGCCCGAATGTCTGTCTGTAGCGAAATTAGCACCTTATTCACAAACGGTCACAAATGTTCTTTGCACCGATGCAATTTGATCACATTTAAATTAGATGCTGTAATTTAGTGTGAAATGTTTGCAGTCTCCTGAGAGCTCAGGGAAGAAAACAGCAGAAAAAAAGCTTCGGGGGGGTGGTTGCTGTCACAAAAAGAGGGTGGGCGTGTCAGGAAAAGTCAGCAAAAGCAGCATTTTCATTGTTAAAGGTCTCATTCACTGAGAAGCCATTTAATTCTAGTTCTTTTCGAAGTATATTTAATAACTCTGAGTTGCACATGCATGCAGAAAAAAATAGGTGGGTGAATGCTTGGGTCAGAAAATGCCCACTTCTTCTACATCACAGAGAAAATTAGCTTTTGTAGATTCACCCACCTTTGATTGCAACCATGGAGGACTGTTTTACAGCCAGGAGAGAGCAGAGCGCTCTCATCTATTAAAAACTAACTGTTAGCATTAGCAACTCTACGACATTGCTGAACACGTTCAGGCTTGTGTTGTTTGTGGAGATAAAACATCAATGTTGCAATGTTTACTCATGAAAGAAGAGTAAAGGAAGGGAGCAGACGAGTCACATTGCTGTTAGCCAATCAGAGGTGAGAAGGTCGTATATCATGAATATTAATGAGTAAGACACCAAATCTTGAAGTTTTCGACTGCCAGTGCCACCTTCTGTGATAAACTTATTCTACCCAGAACAGGAGTGCGAGAGCTTTTTTTCCAGAGAACACAACTCACAAGACATTCATTTATGCGAGAGACCGCAGCAGATGTATTGAAACAACGAGTGAATTAGACCTTTAAGTAAAGTAAAAAGATATGAGGCAAACAAAATCACTCGCTGATTTTAAAATGGAACCCTGAATGTGATTTGGTTTTTGATTTTTTTTTTGTATTTTTTTTTACTTTATCCAAAAAAAAACTTTTTTTCTTCATTACTTTTGTGCCTGTTTACTTTCCTTCTTAATTATTATTTCTTCTTATTTCAGGTTGAACCAGTCCACACATCGGTCCTCTTCCGTCAAGGTATGACCAGGTAAATTACAGCTTCATTTAAACACTTTAATGCTTTTCACATTAGCACCTCTGAACTCCTCCTCCTTGAACCGTCACCTTATCGTGGTGGAGGAGTTTGAGTGCCCTAATGATCCTAGGAGCTATGTTGTCTGTGGCACTTTGTGCCCCTGGTAGGGTCTCCCATGACAAATGGGTCTTAGGTGAAGGGTGAGACAAAGAACGGTTCAGAAGATCTTTCATGGACGTAAAAACAAAGAGGCGAAGTACCCGGCCTGGAGGGTTACCAGGGTCCCAGCCTGGAGCCAGGCCTGGGGTTGGGGCCCGTGAGCGAGCCCCTGGTGGCAGGGCTTTCGCCCATGGGGCCTGGCCAGGCCCAGCCCGAACTGGATACATGGGCTCATCCAACTGTGGACCCACCACCTGCAGGAGGAACATGAAGGGTCCGGTGCAGTGTGGATCGGGTGGCCGACCGAGGCGGGAGCCTTGGCGGTCCGATCCCCGGACAAGGAAACTGGTTATTGGGACATGGAACGTCACCTCGCTGGCGGGGAAGGAGCAGGAGCTTGTGACAGAGGTTGACCGGTACCGGCTAGATATGTTGGGGTTTACCTCGGGGGACGAGAGGGTAGCTTCCCTGCGCCTTCGGGTCGGGGAACGGGTCCTGACTGTTGTTTGTGCTTTTGCGCCAAATATCAGTTCCGATTACCCACCCTCGTCCCTGGGACGAGTGCTAGATAGTGCTCCATCAGGGGACTCCATTGTCCTTCTGAGGGACTTCAATGCTCACGTGGGCAATGACAGCATGACCTGGAGGGGTGTGATTGGGAGGAACGGCCCGCCTGATCTGAACTTGAGAGGTGTTTCTTTATTGGACTTCTGTGCAAGCCGCAGTTTGGCCATAACAAACACCATGTTCGAACATAAGGATGCCCATCGGTACACTTGGTACCAGGGCAGCCTAGGTCGATGATAGACTTTGTAGTCATATCATCTGACCTGCGGCCGTATGTTTTGGACACCCGAGTGAAGAGAAGAGCGGAGCTGTCAACTGATCACCATCTGGTGGTGAGTTGGATCAAATGGCAGAGGAAGATGCCGCGTAGACCTGGCAGACCCAAACGCATAGTGAGGGTCTGCTGGAAACGCTTGGCAGAAGAACTTGTCAAGACGGTCTTCAACTTCCACCTCCAGCAGAGCATTGACCACGTCCCGAGAGCAGTGGGGGACATTGACTCCGAGTGGGCCTTGTTCCACTCTACGATTGTTGAGGCGGCTGTTGCTACCTGTGGTTGCAAAGTGGCCGGTGCCAGTCGTGGTGGCAACCCCCGTACCCGCTGGTGGACACCAGAGATTTGGGGAGCTGTCAGGCTGAAGAAGGAGGCCTACAGGGCGTGGCTGGTCTGTGGGTCTCCAGAGGCAGCAGACGGGTACCGGATAGCCAAGCGGGGTGCAGCAGTGGCAGTTGCCGAGGCAAAATCTCGGGCGTGGGAGGAGTTTGGTGAGGCCATGGAGAAAGACTACTGATCTGTGCCAAAGAGGTTCTGGCAAACTGTCGCCTCAGGAGAGGGAGGCAGCAACTCGCTCACACTGTTTACAGTGGGGATGGGGAGCTAACGTCCACTGGGGCAATAGTCAGGCAGTGGAAGGAATACTTTGAGGAGCTCCTCAATCCCACCTACGCGCATTCTGAGGAGGAGCCAGTGCCGGGAGACCTGGGGATGGACTGTCCAATCTCTGGGGGAAAAGTTGCTGAGGTAGTCAAACAACTACACAGAGGCGGAGCCCTGGGGGTGGATGAGATTCATCCTGGCAAGGCTATGGATGTGGTTGACACATCTCTGCAACATTGCGTGGTCATCGAGGCAGTTCCTGTGGAGTGGCAGACCAGGGTGTTGGTCTCCATCTTTACGAAGGGTGACTGGAGGGTGTTTTCCAACTATAGGGGGATCACGCTCCTCAGCCTCCCTGGAAAGGTCTACTCCAAGGTACTGGAGAGGAGGGTCCGATCGATAGTTGAATCTCAGATTGAGGAGGATCAATGTGGTTTTCATCCTGGCCGTGGAACTGTGGACCAGCTCTTTACCCTTGCAAGGGTGATGGAGGGGGCATGGGAGTTTGCCCAACCAGTCGACATGTGTTTTATGGATTTTGAGAAGGCTTATGAGCGTGTTCCCAGGGGTACCCTGTGGGGGACGCTCCAGGAGCATGGGGTGAGTGGCTTTCTGTTAAGGGCCATTCAGTCCCTTTACCAGAGTAGCGTGAGTTTGGTCCGCATAGCCGGTAGTAAGTCGGACCTGTTCCCGGTGAGGGTTGGACTCCGCCAGGGCTGCCCTTTGTCACCGGTTCTGTTCATAAATTTTATGGACAGAATTTCTAGGCTTAGCCGTGGTGTGGAGTGTGTCAAGTTTGGTGGTAGGAGAATCTCGTCTCTGCTTTTTGTGGAAGATGTGGTCCTCCTAGCTTCATCCAGCTCTGACCTTCAGCTCTTGCTGGGTAGGTTCGCGGCCGAGTGTGAAGCGGCTGGGATGAGGATCAGCACCTCCAAATCTGAGACCATGGTCCTCGACCGGAAAAGGGTGGCTTGCCAACTCCAGGTCGGGAGAGAGGTCCTACCTCAAGTTGAGGAGTTTAATTATCTCGGGGTCTTTTTCACGAGTGAAGGTAGGAGGGATCAGGAGATCGACAGGCGGATTGGTTCGGCGTCTGCAGTGATGCGGACGCTGAGCCGATCTCTCGTGGTGAAGAGGGAGCTGAGCCAGAAAGCCAGGCTCTCGATTTACCGGTCGATCTACGTCCCAATCCTCACCTATGGTCATGAGCTTTGGGTAATGACCGAAAGAACGAGATTGCGAATACAAGCGGCCGAAATGAGTTTCCTCCGTAGGGTGGCCGGGCTCAGCCTTAGAGATAGGGTGAGGAGCTCGGACATTCGGGAGGGACTCAGAGTAGAACCGCTGCTCCTCCGGATCGAAAGGAGTCAGTTGAGGTGGTTTGGACATCTGGTCAGGATGCTTCCTGGAAACCTCCCTGGGGAGGTGTTTCGGGTATGTCCTGCCAGCAGGAGGCCCCCCGGGTCGACCCAGGACACGTTGGAGAGGTTACATCTCCAATCTGGTCCGGGAACGCCTTGGGGTCCTGCCAGAGGAACTGGTGGAGGTGGCTGGGGAGAGGACGGTCTGGAGCTCCCTAGTTGAGACGCTGCCCCCGCGACCCGGACCCGGATAAGCGGAGGAAGACGACAACGACGACACCTCTGAACTCCTCTTGAGTGTGTGGAAAGCAAAAGGCAACACAGGAACATTAGTGTTTCCAAAGCTCTCCTCTCATTACCTACCAGGCATCATTTATTTGAGTTTAGCAGAACTTTGGTGAGATTTTGACACTGAGGTCACACAGGGCATCCCGACTGTCGAGCAGATAAACATGATGATGCTAAAATGACTGCTCTGTGAACCATTTCCCATCACATTGTACTCTGAGAGACATTCTTGGAGTTGGCCAACTAAAAGGCTTTTTATCACAACCTGAGCTGCCTTTCCTACTTCCTGCCTTTATCAGACTCACACACAAACCCTGTAATTATTAACCCAGAGGAAAAACACAGTACTTGGCAGAACACCAGCAAATTCTATATAACCGAAACAATGGGGAGCTGCTGTAACTGCAGCTAACAAATAACAGGGATAAACTTTGACTCCTGATAAGAAGGACAAGAAATCTGTTGTGGCTTATTTGAAAAGGTTAACACTTTACAGCAAAAGGCCAAGGTCCTTTACTCCTTCCTTGTCTGGGTTCATTTTTTCCAATACAGAGGATCTTATAATGGCCATCTGTTCAGTGCAAAACTATGGAGGTGGTCGAAAGATTATGAGGCACTTGCTCATTTAATTCTTAATTTATTTAAGGGGAAAAAAGATCAAAGACTCCTTCTTGACCTCCTCAGATCTGATTTTGTATGACAAAAATTACATCAATGTAAAAACCAAAAAATGTGCTGTAGATGGTAGGAAAATTGACAGGATGCATAGACTTCAGTCCAGGAAGTAGTGTGATCAGCAGCCAAAACGGCAACTGCCTGTAATATTTGGGAGAAGCAGACGATAAATGAATCCTCTTGGCCTCAAAATTCGTTCTAGGACCCTATTTTCCATATTTTACCTTTAAAAAGAAAAACTTTAATGGAGACATTTTGTGACTTTTTAAAAATATATATAACAGTTATTTAGTAAAAAACAAATACACACATTTTCAGGATAGTCTTTGCAGAGAATCCCTCTCACACAAGGAGATTTTTGGCAGTTTCAGTACCTTCCAGAATGAGCTGTTTCAGGGCTCTGTCACCTTAAGACAAGCTGTTGCTGGCCACGCCCACCACCCCACTGCTCAGGCTGCTGTAAGCGCAGAAGCTCTGATAGCTGAAAGGGACTCGGAGTAGAGTCGCTGTTCCTCCAGCATCAGCTCTCTCTTGCTCATGAGATGTGGTTGTATTCTACTTTCCCTGTTTATGACATCACAAACGGGGACTTTTTGAAATGGCTTGTTTTAGGCACATAATTCAAAAGCTGACAAAAAATGGATTGACAGGTGTTTTTTACATTAATAGTGGTTTTAGAGGTAATGGAGACCCACATGGAGGCACCAAGGGAATAAAAAGGTTAGTTTTGTGCAATTTGTCTCTTTTAACAAGAGGCCTAATTAACAAGATATCGCTACAAAGATGAAGATTAAGTGCAACAACTGAGACCTGGTTTGAAAGTAACAAAAGGTGAGAAATCAACCAATTGCGCAATAAAACAGGAAGTAAAGTTACAGGAATGAAGGTGGGTGGGTTCTAGATTATAAAAGTAGTAGAGGTTGATATTAACCAAGGACAGACATGAAAGTGTCTTGCAGAGACCGCTCAAGCCTTTTGTCCCCAACTGGGACAAGAGGACAATGATCACAGCAACACAAGGTCAGTGTTGTGCATTCCTGTCCTGCATAGATGCTCCATGATGATTGATTTTCAGCTCATTTGTC